TGGGAGCGAGAAGACGCGGTACAGCTGAACCACACACGCTGTTTTCAAATGATTGACTTAATCTGATATTCTGTGTGAATTTTTTTAACTCATCTAACCTACACTGTATATTAAATACATGTTTGCGGGAATTTTCCAAGCGTGCGAAACCTGCGAAAATGAGTAAAACCAAAATATATATATTCAACATAAACATATATTCTATTATATAGAGATTTGTAAAATAAATTTCCACGACTTTTCCAAAGTTTTCTGGGGTTTTCATGACCGTACGAACCCTGTAAATGGCTATTTTTATTTTTTTAAATCGTCTTGATGAAATTTCTGCTCCACTTTGTGTGGAGGTAGTGAGACGGGACAAAGTCCCTGTAAGATATTAGGGTATTCTATAGTCTTTCGAATGTCGTAGTTGGAAGCAGGAAGCTGTTATCCCCGGCTGGCCCGTGCACGCTGTTGAAATGCGACTAATAATTTCTGACTGGCACATAACTGAACAAATGTAAACGGGTTAAGGCGGGGCCCCCTACAAGGCGGGGCCCCTGGGCTGCAGCCCAGTCAAGCCCAGTGGTAAGTCCGGCCATGTACACATACATACACACACGGACACAATAACAATATAACATACAGTATATAATAATCAAATCAAAATGAATATTTTTCCATTTGCGTTTCTATAGCTTGAAGCTTAATGAACACTTGCTCTAATTTAAGAGCAATTTTCTTGCTGTTCAGACAGTCTGTTTTGACTTACATTTTAAGTTGATTTTAATATGATATAGAATACACTTTCTTTTAATTAAATAAAAGTCAAACTAAATTCTACCTGTATACCTGTGTTTGTACAAATACACACATAATGATACTGTACTAAATTATTTCCTGTCAAACACGAAGGGAATGAATATAAATGGCATGCTGGGAGCTTGTATGTGCGGCCCTAAGAGGGAAGCTGACCCCAGGGGTCCCGAAATGACAGCACAGCAAAACTCTTATCACACATGATTTATCAGCTTTCTAGCACTGCGTCATCTCTGCGCTCCGATCACACACGCTTTGTGTTTGATTTATTAATGTCCGTGAGGTGGGCATGCAGCTAATTCATCAAATTCAATTTAAGGAGGCATGCCAACACGTTTATTCTGAAAAATCAGATCCAGATCAGCAGAGAGAAAGTGAATGAGAGAGAAAGGAAGTTAAGGAATTGCGGGTAAAGCATATGAAACAGAAAAAGTTGGGAGCTTGAATGAGAAGGACAATGAGAGAGACGGGGATATTTATTGAAGATGAGAACTGCGTAAGTGTGTTTCTCTGTTTTATTCACAGCTCATATTGATTTACTGCCTTTACCTTCGGAATTTGGTCTGGTGTCTGGTGAAGTTGCGTCGGGCTCTGGTGAGCTCTTATCCTGGGCTTTCACATCATCTAGACACATATTACATAGAGAGACAGAGAAAACAAGGGAAGAAGGCAGAGTGAAGGGAATGAATGACTCAAGATCACAGCTGAGCAGAGGAATTAAAAGTTAGATGCCACTGGGTGACATCTCATTGGCTACTGGGCTTCTCCTAGCTGAAATAAATGCAGGGGATGCTAAAGGCTATGCCTGAGGCAACAGAGGCTTCAAGAGAAGAACATGAGATTGCAGAGCTCAGGATGACGAGATACACCTGTGCATGCATCTGAAAACACATCCTTTTCTTCTGTAGAAATAATAAAGCATGCATTTGAGTTTACTTGAGCAAATGCAACATTTCAGTCAGACAGTCTCTCAACTGTCATAAAAAAAAAAGTGGCAAAAAGGTCCATAACCTGAAAATTCACATTTAAAAATGCATCCACACACGCTCTTATTTCTTCTGTATAAATATTGAAACATGCATTTGAATTGGAGTCGTGACCTAGTGGTTCATGCACATGCTCACAAATTACTGGGTGACATGAGTTTCAATCTGATCCTGTTGCTGTATTTTGTCCTCTCTCAACTTTCAAATAAATAAAATGGCTAAAAACTCATTTACATTTGGAAATGCACACACACACACACACACGGCTTTCTTCTGTATAAAATATAAATAAGTCATGAATTTGAATTTAAACCATTAAATGATCAGAAGGCCAAAAAATAGTTTTAATTCACACATTTTTACCTTTAGTGCTGCTGGTGGGGTTGCTCTCATTGGCTGCTGTGACACTTTGATCAGCATCTAAACAAAAAGTCACAAGTGTTATGTTCTATGTGCTTTTCATTTCTTTTGATTTTATTACAATTATAGTGGGTCCATATGCTGGATTCCTCATTATGATCTTCAGGAAGAAGAGTAACTACATATTTTAATCCCCCAAAACATTTATTTATTTATTTTTTTGGACACAAAATATCCTTTTAAAGTTCATATTTCAAATCACGAATTTGCATAGGTATGAAGGCCATTGAGACTTTTTTTCTCTCACAATTGAAAATTTATTTTTGTCTCAGAATTACAATTTTATATCTTTGACTTTTTCTTTTAAAGGGGTCATATGATGCTTTTTTAAAGATAATTATTTGGTGTATTTGGTGTAACAAAATATGTTGACATGCTTTAATGTTCAAAAAACACATTATTTTTCAAATACTGTACATTATTGTAGGTCCTCTATGCCCCGCCTCTCTCAAACGCTTCGTTTTCTACAAAGTCCCTCCTTCCGACAAGCGCAGTCTGCTCTGATTGGCCAGCTGACCCAGTTCATTGTGATTGGCCGAACACCGCAAGCACTCGTCGGAAATGTAACGCCCCTTACCATAATCGCGAGCTTCATCTTTCAAAATAAATGTAAAGACAGAGCCCGAAAGGAGAACAGAGTCGCGTGACAGACACAGTGATGAAGCTGGTATGTGTTTGCAGCACACAAGCCACAGTTAAGACAGCTGACTCCACTTTCATGTGACACTCTCTCTCTCTCTCTCTCACACACACACACACACACACACACACACACACACACACACACACACACACGATGCGCAAAACACCGCATTTGAACAGTCAATAGCAAATACTTAAACTAATAACAAAAAAACAGTACTATGCACAATCAGCTTGTAACACGCCAAAGAGAAAGGAAAACGCATCATATGACCCCTTTAATTCTGAGTTTACATCATAAAATTCAGATTATTTTTTTTTTCTCAGAATTTTGAGTTTACATCTTGCAATTCAGTTTATTGGAACCACCATGAAAAAAAATTTAAAAGGTAATTCTGATATATGAATTTTCTTGCATTTGTGAGTGTTCACTTTTTTTTTCTCAGACCTGCAATAAAAAAAGGCTAAATTGTGAGATAAAAAGTTACAATAAAATTTTTAATTACCCTTTTATTTAAATTCCGTGGCAGAAATAAGCTTCCATAACTCGGTGATTCCACTGAATATATTAAAGTGACTTAGTAGCTACTCACACTCTAGGCACAATCCCTGTGGAGTAACCTTTCGGGACTTGAACCTACATCCTTCCCAGTCTGTATCTTTAATAACTGCATCGCCCCAAGTGTAGTGTATTTAGACATCAACTTCAATAGGAGATTACTCTACAGCTAATTGGTTCTTTGGTATAAGACCAATGCATATTTTTTTAAATATGAAAAATATGGTCCAAAAGCCTCTCGCCTTCAAGAGGAACAAAACAAATGCAGGCGAAAGGGGAAGCATAGAAAATGAATTAGAAACTGCCTTGAGTCTATATCAGTGTGAGCCTCATTTTCAAACTCCTCTGTAAGTTTCTCTCTTCTATCTCTCTGCCTAAATACCAAAGCAAACCACAGCATGAAATAATCTCCTTCCTGCGGCACATCCATGGATGATGCAAGCGCACCCAACTCAGTGCTGCAGATCGTCTTCGCACTCGAACCATTGCGTTTGTCTGCAGAATAACAATATTTACCTTCATGAGAATCTTACAAACATCATCTAAACACACTGGAACATCTTAAACGTACAATACACATCACTGGCAGTGTAACATCATGGCGTCTGTTTTCACTGTGATGTTACATGCTTTCATGCTAATTTCATCACAAGCTCTGAAGCTTTGCTTTCAGCTGGAGAGTCAATTTTTCGGGTTACGGTGGCAACATTTCAACTACTACAGACTATGGCTTTAATGCAACCTTTCAGAACGAGAGCTACCCAGACACTTCACTCTCTCTGGTGGCCAGCCCTCAAATTCGACTGATTTAACGGCGCAAAGCTGCAAGTGATGGATTTGTGTTTTGAACGTGAAAAAAAAGCTTTTTTTATAGAGCAGCAGCGGAGTGCATGGATGAGGAAAGGTAAGGGAGAGCACGGGCAACCGCCACCGCCATGATTTCATTTCATTCTTTTCTCGCGGCACCGTAGAGAGAGAAATTGAAACCGAGTGCAATACGATTCAACAACACTGTTTCTATTACCGCCCACTTCTGGAAGCAAGTCTACTCTCTGTCCCTCGCTTGGCGTTTTATCCATATTCCAGCACAAATGGGGAGCTGGAGTAAACAGTTTTTTTTTTTGGTATTGTTTTGGTATTGTTTTCAAGTAAACATATCTAAAAATTCTTAAAACAATTAACTATTACTTGAGAAGAAAAAGTGCATTTTATTTATTTATTTATTTATTTTTTACCCCATGACAAAAGGTTTAACATGAATAGAAAAATAATGAGTGATGTTTATGCTTAAATAAATAAAGTGAAAAGTATTTGGCAATGAGCAACCAGGGTTAGTGTAAAACACACACACAAACACACACACACACACACACACATATATATATATATATATATATATATATATATATAATGCATACTCATACTACATACTGTATAATCTTAATAAAGATATAATCTTAATAAAACAAAATAAAATCCTTATAAAATTAATTAAATTATGTATAATTTTAATAAAAATACAGCAAGATTATTATTAGTATTTTTTATATTATTTATTAATTTTATTTATCACACACACACACACACACACACACACACACATGCACGCACACACCTTAAATGCAGGTATTCTCTTATCATCTTTCTATCACAATTTTGCTTCTCAAGTAAATGTATCTTATTTCAATTGTTTAAATATTTGGAACACAAGACAAAAAATTCTGATGAAGGAAATGCCTCTGCCTTTAACACACATGTAATGCTCTTAGTTATTCCGGGCCGCATTTAAAGTCCATGAACAGGCACCAAAATGAGAAAGTTAAGGCTGTCGCTTGATTGAACCTGCAAGCTCAATTGACACTTGGCTTCCTCCTGATGCGCCGTCTGTCTCTCCTTCCATGTAATAATGTCAGGGCTGAGAGGGAGCCCTCCCACTTTGGGATCCTAATAAGCAGCGCTAATCAAAACACAACAAATCAGCCGTTGAAAAAAAAAACGAGATGCTGGAATTTCAATCAATGCCTGTGCTTGCTTCCAACTGCTGCCCTGTACGTCAGGAGATGCTGCAGAAATTTGTCAGCTCTCTAATTTAGCTTTACAGCCGACAACAGTATGAGTTCGGTCTTTCGGGAAGAGAGTCTGACGTGCCGTGAAACAAATAAAATAGCCAGAGGCTGTCAAGCAGGAAAAAGTGTAAAAAATGTGACATGGAGGATAGCTGGGCACTTGAGTCTATTTCTCGAAAATTTCATTTTCTTACCCAGCAGCAAACAGATTGATTTGAGGCTTCTGATGTAATCTGATGGTAAGACTATAGTATCATGCCATTATGATTTAAAATCCTCACAAATAGTGATATATTTGGTGTTAAACATCAGACTAAGTCTATACAAGTGGCCTCAAGCTATGCGTTTTGGTTAATTATCCTGATTTACCTGAAAGCAGTCCATTGGACACTCAATTCTCTTCATCACAGCGGCTGAGCGAGCACAAGATAGTCTGAGTGTTCTAGCTTCGATAAATTGTCGTATTTTCTTTGCTTCATATGCTTCCCTTGAAATTAACTGCACTTAGGCGTAATGAAAGTTTGAGGGTCTCGTCGTGTGGGTGGTATCTTTACAGTCAGTGCCGGGCAACTCACAAAGCAGGGAAGACGAAACAAGTGAGCGAGGAAGATGGAGAAAGAGAGGGAAGTGTGGTGTGGGGGTTGGGGGCAGATGTAAGTCATATTCATATTCAGACATGCAGAAAATTAGATCCTCCACCAACCATTCGCTCTAGAGATCGTGAGGGGCTTGTGGGTCTATTGTTAGGCAGTATAAATTGTCTACACCACCCAAATAATGACCGGTCGTGCCAGGCAAGCATCAACATCATTCCTCGTCCACTCCAAATTCAACAATGACGTTACAGACAAAAGCCAAAGCAGACATTTAGTCATCAAGAAGTAATCCTCAGGATATGATATGTCTGGTTACTGGAGACTCAAATGGTGGTGCTGGTTGAAAGGTTTGGCCAATGTCTTTAAAAAAATTACCATGGTAACTATCAGGGCTATTCAGATGCACTATTCAGAACTGAACTGAGAAATTTAAAATTCCTAAATTGTAATTTTATTTGAGGTGAAAAACAGGATATAATTTAAAATAAAGGAAATAAATAAAGGAAGTAGAATTACAATGAATAGAAAAAAAAAAAAAACTGGGATAAAAGTGAAAGTTTTTAGAAAAATGTTACTGACCCCAATCTTTTGAACAGTAGTGGATATAATTCTATATATACTTTATAAGTTGTATTTGCAAATGTCAACAGACACACAAATATCCAGTGCATTTCTGTCAAATGCAGCTGGACATTATATTAGATTATTTTAGGAGGGCCAATCATCCGAGCCGCTTCAACAGAGTTTGAGAGAGACTTTTTCACAGTCAAGGCTTCTTTGGTCATTTAATTTATAACCTTTTTCCCTGCACCTGGATTGTTTAGGTTCTCAAGGCCGTCTGACTCTCACAATGTGTCGGCAGCTCAAAGCTGAACACAAACAATCAAACCAATAACCCTGGTCTAACTGGGGCATGGGCCCAATGTAATCGAACCAGTGACTCACAAAGGCACCTCGCCAGATGGTTTTCACATGTCGCTCAGGAGGTTAATGGAAAAGAACTCGACTGAAAGGAGAACAAGAGAGCAAGCTTACAGCCGTCCCCACATTCACAAGAGTAAAAACCACTCAATATCTCACAAGTCGAAGACATTATCTTTCTGTCCTTCACTTGGAGGAGTATGTAGATGGTATGTTTGGTTTACGGAGATGATGCAATGAATCAAACTATTCTCATCTGGAAAAAAATGAGCAGTATAAGCAGCACCTGATATCTCACTTTAGGTAAAGAAGCTCAGGGTGGTCTTCAAGCTGTGCCTTCATCATCAAACATGTAAAGAACTGTATTTTGCAAGTGAATTTCCACATTTTAGACCAAAGTGCAGCTTTTGTAGCATTTTGTGCCAAGTAACAGTAGAGTTCAGCTCATCATTAAAACATACATCAATGTAATTCCAGGCCTATTCATGCACAACAACGGCGGGCAACCTTTTCAAACTTTCCAACATTCTGGGAGGCACTTGATTGTGTGCAGGCTTTTTTCTTCGTTGCGTCGCTGTGTGATGGTGGAGCTTCAAACAATTAGAGCCAATTAAAAGGTATTGAGTCGAAACAAACCCAGTGGGGAGGGCTTCAGTGTAAATACCACAGATCCTTCTCATGCACGTTCCTCTTGTGAAAAGCCAAGTGGCTCCTCTCATCTGTATTCTGCCCTCTCAAAGAGAAGAGTGAGAAATACGAGGAAGGGATTCTACAGAGCCAAGTGGCATTGTATTACCAGCCGCATTTGCCTAAAGTTACAAGATGTGCTTTGACGAGCTGCCAATGTACAAGGAAGAGGTCCTCTCTAGGTCTGAAAGGCTTCCAGTTCTCATGGGCCAAGAAGGCCATGCTTGGAAAAACAAAAAAACAAAAAAAAAACCTTTAAAAAGATGTGAAAGGAGAACATGGGGTCACCTGATTTAAGGGTCACATTGAAAGTGCTGTGGAGAATTGAGCAGGGAGGTTTGTGGCAGATCAGAAAAGCAAATTAGCAGCGAAGGGAGGGGAACAGTAGCCTTTTTAATGCGTTACTTGTCGATGTAGAATCCATAATAGCAATAGTTCACCCAAAAATAAAAATTCTGTCATCATTTACTCACTCTCATGTTGTTCCAAACTTCAATTGAAATTCTGTGTAATGCACTAGTTGCTATTTTCCATGCAAATAAATGGGTACTAGAGATTTCAAAAGATTCAAAATGGTTGTCAAAGCACCATTGAAGTTTCATAAAAGTGGTCTATACACACTGTATTTCAAGTCTTCTGAAGCTATATAATAGTTTTGTTGGACCAACAAACCACAATGTAATTTGTTATTCACAGACAAACAAGCTGTATCTTTAAGTCAGTGAGAACCGGATTAGTCTGATTCATAAATGAATCATTCAGACTTGTTTTTTTTTAACTGGATCATACGATTCATTGAATTGACTCAAAAGAATGATTCACTCACAAATTGAACATCTTTTCATAAAATGAGAGTATATCGAATAGCTTTAGAGAGTGAACAAATGATAACAGAATTTTTATTTTGGTGTACTAAATAAAAAAAATAAAGTGTTTTAAATAGTGTTAAATAAAGTGTTGAAAATGAAAATTAGCCCATGATTTACTCACCCTCAGGGCATCTTAGGCATATCTGACATTCCTCTTTCAGACGAAAACAATCGGAGTTATATTAAAAATCGTCCTGGCTCTTCCAAGCTGTATAATGGCAGTAAATGGTGCCACTGTTTTTGAAGCCAATAAAAGTGCATCCATCCATCATAAAACTACTTCATACGGCTCCGGGGTGTTAATAAAGGCCTTCTGAAGTGAAACGATGCATTAGTGTAAGAAAAATATTGATTTTAATTTATAAACTGTAATCTCCAGCTTCCGGTCGCTCAAGCAGGCACGTTCACGACAAGGCATTCGAGAGTATAACGTAGGCGTAGCGGAAGGCTCAACGTAAGGCCCCAACGTAAGCTTGGAAGAGCCAGGACATTTCTAAATATAACTGCGATTGTGTTGGTCTGAAAGAGATACGCCTAGGATGCCCTGAGGGTGAGTAAAACATGGGCTAATTTTCATTTTTGGGTGAACTACCCCTTTAAGTAGTTAGAGAAAACCTTCTCTTCTCTGCTTCAAATGACAACTCCAAAAACAATTCAAAAGCACAGAGCTCACAAAACAAAAAAGGGAAAAACAACATTAAATATGAAGGAAGTAAGAAAAGAGGGCGTCCCCTTTGCCATGACCCCAAGAGCCGCAAAACGCAGCTGTCAAAGGAAAACTTAAAAAAGAAAGACTGCGAAAAACTTAACGAGTGACTTAGCATAATGTGGGGTCTGCTTTTGAACCTGACCCACCACGAGTGCTATGGCATGAGATTATATTTGCCAAGTTACAGCAGCAGAAAATAGGATGCAAAACCTTGTTGTTCATGTACACCTTTAGACCTTGCTGGTTTAAAAGAGATGTGAGAATATAAAAATCAAAGTTCTTCACATTCAAACACTCTAACAATATAAAGAAATTTTTAATCTCTCAAACGAAACATGCTTTCAAAACAGTGTCTTGTGGTCACAAAAACCAATGCAATCCATATTTTCCCCATACATTACTATTCAAAAGTTTGGGGTTTGTAAAATTACTTCAGTCCTTCAGAAATCATTCAAATATGCTTATTTGGTGCTTAAGAAACATATTTTACTACTATCAATGTCGATAACAGTTGTGCTGCTTAATATTTTCGTGGAAACTCTTGTGCATTTTTTTTTTTCAGAAAAAGAACAGTATTTATTTAAAATAGAATTTACTGTAACATTGTAAGTCTTTAATGTCACTTTTGATCAATTTAATACATCCTTGCTGAATAAAAGCATTAATTTCTTTAAAAAAAACGTACATTTAAACTTTTAAAAGGTAGTGTACATTGTATACTTAGTCTTGTGTTTTTGCTCCTAGCATGCACCTAGCACTGTTCTTCTCATTAACGTAAAATAACGGGTTGAGCTTTGCTGATGGGAGATTGAAGAACATTACACAAAAAATTTGGGAAAACCAATTTAGCACATACCCTGAATCTCCATAGGAACCTCAGGTTCCTGACTGGTGTCCGCCCCGGTGTCGTCACTCTTTGTTGAGTCTATTGACACAGAGAGAAGAAACAAAGATCATATTTTTAATACGATGGCCATTAAAACAGAAAAGAGGTTAAACAGCTTCCAAAGAAGCAACACTATACCCAGCACTAGTTTTCAAAGTGATGTCACATAATTTGCTGTTCCTGCCAAACTGTCCATGTTTTTTCTTCTCTCACTGTTTTCTTTTGTTTAATATGCATTAAAGCACCTAAATTCTATGTGACTTTTTAATGGATTTTGTGCGCCTTTGCAAGGAGAGAGACGTGTGCGAGGGACAAAATGAATAAGCATGAGCAAAACAAAACTGCCATTATCAAATATAAACTCTGCATCCTGTGCCTCAGCACTCTTCACTTGCGCTGTGATTTATACTGCCTCCATATTCCTTGCACACTCCCCAGAACCAATCCCCCCCTCCCCCCTTGTCTGGAGGGCTGTGGGAAGGACGAGCTCGCTGATCAAAATAAGATTTTCAAAGCCACAGTGTGAGAACCGTGCTCCTTCCAGCTTATTTGAGCAGGACTCCTCTTCTCCTGCAATCTTGTTGTGGGCCATAGGTGACTACATAATGGAGAGCACACACAATGCATTCTGGGTGCTCTGTCAGGGCACAAATGACAATCATATCAGGTGTGTTTGAAGTCCAGGGTCCATCAGCAGATGGTTGCGGTGGCTGAAGAGGGTTTGTGATGGTCATATTTATGTGTGAATTCATACAATGGTGGCGCCTCTACACGAAAGTTGTTATATGGCTTGGTTTCCATCAAACCTGTCCTCTAACAAAAGATTAGCATGACCAATAGTGTGTTCATTATAAATATATCAGAAGGTCAGATTTTTCAGAATTTTTTGTTAAATGATGATGTACATGGAAGAGGGATAATGGTATGGGGCTGTTTTTCAAGGGGTTGGCCTAGGCCCCTTACTTCCAGTGAAGAGAAAGCTTACTGCTTCATGCTTTGAAACAGTTTGGGAAAGGTCTTTTTCTATTCCAGCATGAACGTGCCCCAGTGCACAAAGCAAGAACCATAAAGACATGGTTGGATGAGTTTGGTGTGGAAGAACTTGACAGGCCCGCACAGAGCCCTGACCTCAACCCCACTGAACACCTTTGGGATGACCTGGAACGGAGATTGTGAGCCAGGCCTTCTCATCCAAGACTCACAAATGCTCTACTGGATGAATGGGCAAAAATTCCCACAGAAACACTATAAAATCTTGTGGACAGCCTTCCCGGAAGAGTGGAAGCTGTTATAGCTGCAAAAGGGGACCAACTCCAAATTAATGTCTTGTATTTAGAATGTTATGTCATTGAAGTACCTGTTGGTGTAATGTCAGGTGTCCCAATACTTTTGTCCACAACAGTAATAATACTGCTAATAATAAATTCTTAGTCTGAAGTAAAACTGACTACAATTAATGAACATGGCAATGAAACACTGGCTAAATTTAAAGGTTATTTTCATCAAAACTATGACTAAAACAAAAACTTACAAAAATTGACTCTGAAACTAAGATTTTTTTTGAGGGACTGGAATTGAACCTGCTTCTCTTATATGAGAACCACCACTAACTGTGAACCAGTTACGAGGAGGAGTTTTGGGGCAGGATATAAACACAGTGCAAGAATATTTGCAATTATGCAGAAAATTTGGCTAATGCCTGGCTCTTTCAAGGACCGCTGCAATATTTGTGCCCAGGGCAATAGCTAATTGTGCTGTGATAAGCCCTAGCCACAGGCTGACAGAAGCTCCCTGAGCTTAGCCTTCATATCCACAATCTCCCTTGGCACACAAACAGAAAAGAGAATGTCGCATTTAAACAGCCAATTAAAAAGGCCGTTGCCTCTACCTGTCTCTCCACCATGTAAAGACTCTATGGATGGCAGATCAGAGAAGGTACCCAACAGGGGTCCATCGAGAGGAAAGTCACAATAAAGAGAGGAAGTGTGACCTCGCTCAAGTGATTCTACTAAAAACAGATGCCTTGAGTGGTCCATGTTTTCCATTTCACGCAACAAAAAGATGACAACTGGGAAGTAGTGTTGGGACTTTGAAACTAGGAGCCATATTTTAATGATCTAAGTACATGGTCTAAAGCGCATGGCACAAGTGGACTTAGGACGTATCTGAATCCACTTTTGCTAGTTTAACGATGGGAAAAATGGTTGGCGCGCCCGGCGCTTGGTCTAAAAGGCTTGTCCCTATTCTCTTAATGAGTAATGAGTGTGTTTTGGGCGTAATGTGCAATAAACCAATCAGAGTCTCATCTCCCATTCCCTTTAAAAGCCAGTTGCACTCGTGCCATGGTGGATTCGCTATTTACATGGTGGAATTTGCAAGAGCAAAGACCGAATGCTTCTCCAGAGAGGAAAGGTAGATGGTCCTTGCGCACGAGCAGACCATCTACGGGGCACAATAATAATATTTTACATTGTAATCCTTTCATTTTTAATATTTGGCATGTTTGTGTGCTGCTGCGCATCCCTGTGTGTGTAATGAGTGTATGTGCGTTGTGGATCTGCCTATATGCGCATATTACTAACGTGCTCTTTAAATAACAAAAAAATACTGCGCCATTGACTTAAGACCAGGTCTATTTCAGTTGCCTCAAAATAGCAACGCGCCAACAATGCACCTGAACACACACCGTTTCTGCGCGTCCCTTTGTGTGTGTAATAAGCAGTGTACGGGTGTTATTCGCCCACCGCCTATAGGCACATATTACTAACAAAAAAACAAAAAACAAAAATTGACTTTAGACCACCGCCATTGACTTTAGACCAGGTTTCAGTTGGTCAATGGTACAGTCTATTTCAGTTGCCTCAAAATAGCAACGCGCCAACAATGTGCCTGAACACACCTAATTTTAGACCAGCACGCCCATGGGCGCAAATGCATTTGCTATTTAAACAATGATAACTGCGTCGGGCTGAAACTAGCAAAAAACACTTGCGTCGCGCCTGGTGCTGCATTGCACCAGGTATATGATAGGGCCCTATAGCTTTCCATATTACAAACAACTTCTGAATTGCACTTTTGCTCTAGCTTGTGTGCGAAACTAGCCTATACTTGAAACTGCAAATATTGTTGACTTTTATAAGAGACTGCTTGCACTGCTCCTCAAAATGTCGCCTTGCAAAAAAGCATCTCCTAAATGAATAAATGCATCGAAGCTACATTAGGGGATCATCTTTTTATATATATTTAGATATAACTGGCACAACAATGGGGGGTTTTGAATTAAGGAACAATTTAAATAAGTGTGGCAGCAGTAAATGAACAGATAAATTCAAGCTAAATGCAAAAGAAAAGAAAAACAAATGCATTAAACGCATTAAACCAAATGTTTTCATTTATAAAAATAATTATTTTAGTTCATTTGCATAAACTGTCTGAACTGACAGATTCGCTAGAATGAATCAGACATGCAAAAGAATGTAATAAAAAATGCAAAGCTTAGTCGCACTACACTGCCCCTCAGTGGAAAATGCAGGTCATTACTGGAAAAGCTACACTTTTATAAAACCAGCTGTCACACTGCTGAAAAATAAATATAGCTACTCCTCAACACTGGGGAAAAAACTGAGGGAAAATTAGAATAGGCCAACAAATCAAATAATGTGAATGATAAACAAACAAACAAAAAAAAAACTTCCTTTGTTGTTCGGTGGGTTTTACTGAACCGAGAAGCTAGAAATGCGCAGGGCTTCAACTCAAGCAACAGATGGCCACAGCGGATACTGTTGCCTTTCTGCCTCAGGGCCACATTCTCCAGGAGGCAGTGAGCGACTAGGATGGCGTCACTATCAGTCTTGAAAACTTGGCTGCAATCAATAGTTAATACACAAGGAACAAAAACCCAGGAGATCCAAACCCGGGCAACTTCACATGGAGAATCCGGAGGGTGTAACTTCAAGAAGTAAACAAATAAATAAGTGAGCATAGCCCTTAAATAAACAATGATTTCTTTTGATGATTTCCTGAGTGAATATAAATTCTTATCGGAGAGACTATGAGAATGGGTGCCGTGTGATCTCACTACAGTGGATGTAAGACAGGAAATGATGAATATTGACTGATGTCCAAGAGTTAAGCTGGCAAACTACTCCATTTTAGCCTCACCATGACATCAGACAGAAAACAAAGGGTTGGAGAGAGTAAAAGAAAAAATAACTCTGAGACGTCTTCCTCTGGCTGAGAAACACTGATTGCCCACTGTGCTTGAGAACAAAAGACGATGGGAATGAAAGTGTGTGTTCTGCCTCTCTTTCAGTTTTGTCTTCTCTCAAGTTTTTCCTCACACAACATTGGCTTTAATAATTCTAAGACCTGAACAAACTTTACACAATGCAAGTATGCGCAGGCAAATGTTTCCAGCTACACAAGCCCCATTTCATGTTACTCTAGCTAGCACAATAGAAAAGTAACCTGCGAAAACATGAAACTACTTTAAACTGTCAAATGTTTATAATTAGCTCCATAAATAATAACATATCCATTAATGTACTGTAGCAGACATATAAAGGTAACTCTATCAAGTATATAAACACATGCAATGCATTTGCCAAGCATTTGCATTCACATTTGTAACAATTTTTCAAAACAACTTTCTCAATATAAAATATTTAGAAGTGAAATAAGACTATAAAATAAAATCATTTGTCTATAACAGCCAACAATTAATGAATTCCCCAAAATAAGGAGGATCTCCAGTTACAAACAGAAAACACTGAAACAAAAGCAACATATATTACAGTATATTACATATTAGAGACTTATTGTGAATTGATTATATTATAGGGATACATGATTAACAGTGGCATGCTCAGACCTCCGAACGGGGAGGGGAAATATTTTGCATTGCAGATTAAAGGGGGAGGGGCTTATGCCTCCCATTTGATGGTTTAATGTTTCAAAATGAAGAAATTAATCCATAAATATTAGTATTGTAATTTTACAATTTTGTTATTTTTTTAATTTTCATGTAATTATTATTATTATTATTACCACCATTTATAGCCATATTGATATATAATCACAAAATGTTGGTCAAATTGTGCAGCCCTACAAACAAGGCATTATATAAATTACCAATATTATATCAAAATTTGAATAACATTTTTGTTTAAAATGCAACATATCACAACGTCCACCCTCTTTATCAACCGATACATCAGCACATCTCGTTTGTGTACTTGCAGAGTGTATTTCTGGGCTTACAGTTTGCTTTACACACACCAACTCTCATTCTCCTACCACTTCTAAACAGACTGAAGCAACTGACACAGCACAACTTTCCAAAAACAACACTTTTCCTAAGATATCTTACACCGATCTAAAGATCCACCTGTTCTCCAGCCATCATTTGAAATAGTCTGTGGTTGATTCACTTTACCACTGTAACATCAGATTTAATCGGGCAAAATAAGTCTTGCAGTTTGCAATATGTCATCAAAAAACGACATGTAGAAACAGACTGAACCTCATTTGGTGCGATAGAGTGAAAAAACCCCACCTTCATCAGTCAGACAGTGAGAGATGAGGAGAGAAACTCTGATTGGATTCAGAGCCACTGAGGCTCAGCAGCCGTCGCAGTAAATCTCACCTGCATGCAAGGCGAAGAGGCGATATCGACTCCCACCGCAGGAGCCGCAATACACCACGGATGAAAAAACGCCCTCCATTAGCAAAGCCAGACTTATTCATAGGTACCTTCAGGCTAAGAGAACTTTCTTTTAATTTATGAATCTTTCACAAACGTATCGAGTCAACCGTGCAGGGGCTGTTGAGGGAAAAAGCATGTGAACAAGTCAAACGTGTGATTCACTTTGAACACAGTTTCAAAAAGTAAACAAGTCTAGGCACTTTACAGAGCAAACAATTTTATGTTTTTAATATCGATGCAGACTTTCGAAACAAGTCTCTCGAGCTGAGGGCTCCTTATTTGTGTTACTCACTTCCATGCTAGTCAGTCATTTAGTAGATGCTTTTATTCAAAAGCCAATCCCATGCTAACACATGCACAACCATTATAAGACTTTATAAGTTACACAAGCCGACACACCTGCTTAAAATTGGCAGCAGTGCCCTAATGACCATGTGCCAACAGCGTTCAGAAACACTCGGCTGAGGTGTTATGGAAGGCTGTTTGTGTGTGAACGCGAGCGTGTTTTTGTTAAAAGCACCGTATGGTGAGGTGTTGAGCTTGGCTTTATCCTCTTAAATATGTTGTATCAATCTCACCTTCTCCCGTGTTTAACATCTGGTACTGTCACGCTTGTGTGTGTGTGTGTATTAGTCTGTCGCTTGTGTCTAAATGGGGATTGTTATCCATTATCTGTGTACATAACACTTTTATCAAGTTTTGTGTACACAAATAGTGGGCATAATTGAATGAATGTGAGTACACGTTCCAGACATGCCTCTGTGTATCTATTAGGGGTTGCACAGACTAATCGACTAGTTAACTAGTCGACTTCAATGCTCTGCCATGACGCTTTAAGCTTGACGTCGACTAGTCGCTGGTCCTATAGAGGGTGCAACAGGATAAGAAATCTTTGAAGGACTTCCACATTTACGCTCCGTTTCCAAACAGTTAAAATGACAAATAAATGCATACTCTGAAAGCACTCCACAAGATGTGTGATTATATTACTGGATGCTCGAAATTGAACAGGAGAGTGCACGTTTTAAACAGCTTATTGTACAGGTACTTTAATCGCCGTTCTAATCTAATGCGCTGCTGCACTGTAACGCACACACATTACAGACAGTAGCTCGTACATCTCGCGCTGATCGCAATCGCTCTCACTAATGCATTCATATGAACGTAATCGTTACTGAGCTACTTTATCTGTATCTGATTTAGAACGAGCAGAAATCTGTGAGAAACATAACGACTCAAACGAACTGTTAAAAATTAGCTGTTATAGGAGCAATAGCCATGTGGGCAGCGCTGTGTCATATGCCATAGCTGTGCACATGGTGTTTGTCACAGCTCCAGACTTGTTCATTAATGACTTCGACTCGACTTTCATCACATAAAAGTCGACTTTAAAAAATCAGAAGTCGTTCAACCCCTAGTATCTATACTATTGTATGTGTGTCTGGTTATGTGTAACCTTGCTTTATATTATGACTAAATGTGGCACTTTCATTTACCATAAATAGGGTATAAAATAGGGATGGTTTTTTTTGTTTTTCACATGGCCAGTGAAAGAAATGCTTACATTTTAGAAAACAGGTTTTAACTTCCATTCATTTTTCATGCTTTTTGGCCAACATTATAGCAAAATTTGTATAAGTACCATTTAAAACCTGATTTAAAAAAAAAATAAAAAATTGTAAATAAAAATCCTATAACTGAATATAATAATAATATGTTATTATAATTTATTATTCAATTATACATTTAATATATATACTGTATATATTAATGTTTAATAAATAATTAAATATAATAAACGAATCAAAATAAAATAAATAAAACATAATAACATCTAATAAAACTAAATATAATTAATTAAAAAATACTGTAGAATGGGTAAAATGGTTGCAAATTTAGCTTAAATCAAGCTGTCTCGCTGTAGTATCGGCCAAATATTAGTTTACAGGTACTAATAAACTTACAATATATATTTGTTTGATAAACTTTAATGCAAGTTATAAATAATAAATATAATAAAATTATACTTTATATTATTTACATAATATTTTAATAGTTCTTACAACAAATACATGTGATTTAACTTCTAAAGCTTTAAAGTCATAGCCGACCCAAAAATTAAAATTGTAATGATTTACTCACTCTCACATTATTCCAAAACTCTATTTGAGAGAAGATATTTTGAAGAACGTTGTTTTTTTTTTTTTTTGTCCATACAATGGGAACCGAAACCAACATTCTTCAAAAATATCTTCACACAGAAGAACGACATGAGGATAAATTATGACAGAATTCTTATTTTTGGGGCGAACTATCCTTTTAAAGAAAGAAATTGGACACCAAAGTATACATGGAATGTGCCATGTACATCTTTCTCTTTCTTTAATTAGGTGATCATACTAGTCTTACCTTCCATCTGTTTTCCTGCTTCATCAGGCTGGCCTGTCTGCATCTTCTTTTCTGGGCTACCCCCTTTCTCTTCCCCTTGACAGAATGAGACAGATTAACATATTAACGGATAAAAAAAAAACACAATGTTAATCCAATAACACTGTCCTTTCCGATTTGCTCACTTCTCAAAAAGCTCCATTCATAATTCATCCAGTTCAGAATTAATGTCTCTTTATTTCCTCATTCAGATCCGGCAGCCGGTGAGATTACAGTTATATTTTTAATAATGGGGCTCCGAGACAAATTTGAAGCCATGCCCTCAAGAGTGAGGGGAGGACAGCCTCATCTGAGACTGAGTAATCGATCAAGGAAATGGCAAAAGGAGAGAGTGGGCCTTGATGATGCTCATCTGTTGCCTAAGGTGCCGCGCGCGCGCACGCACGCACGCACGCACGCACGCACACACGCACGCACACACGCACACACACACGCACACACACACACACACACTATCTGCCAAATGCAGGAGAAGTGCATTAGACTACTGAATCTCCTGTATGAAACTTAGAAGATTAAAGACACGACAGCTGTTTCTTCTGCCCTCTCATACTGCCTCAAACGGCTGACAGCTTTTTCACAGCATATGCCTGTGAGACAACACTACGCTGTGTTTTTGTTTTCAGTTTTTAAGTTGTCTGCATTTAACAAGGCTGTGCGGTCACAGATAGCAGGCTCGTATTAATACGTCAGCGCTTTGTATGCTTGGCGAGTTTCAAAAAATGGTTAAACACACACAAGGCCAGATTTTAAAACCTGTAATGGCTTTACTAAGAGGATTTTCATGACAAATCGAGAGATTAGGAAATTCCTTGGCATCCAAGCTGCTAACCAGCCATCACGACGGACTCTGGAGATGCTTCCAATTTCTACACAGAGGCTTTTCAGAAAATGTCAATTTCTGCACGCATATACATAGAAAACAATCAATCAATACACATTCAAAAAACAAAAGCCTTTTTTGAAAGGGAAAAACTGGCCGTCACATCATGATAACAGGAATAGAGGCTTCCAAGCTGTCAATTCCTGTAGGAAACCTATAATGACTGCAGAATGCCATTATGAATGCAATTACATTAGATAACAATATCTCACATCAAACAGCATTTCACTGGTGGAAAGACTTCACACGCATACATTTTCACTAAACATTTAGATTTTAAATGACAAAACAACACATATACTATTCAAAGTATTTGGACAATTTCTGGTTTGGAAAACGTTTCATCCACTAAAAACCAGCTGGTTAAAGAACATGAAAAAAGTGCTAAGGAAATTAATTTTGAGAAAAGGTTAATCATCTGTTTGCAGATGCCACAAGATGTAATATTTTTTTTATCTAATCACATTAATTTTTAATGGCTCAAGTGTGAAAATGCATTTTAGGCTATTCTCATAAACATAATTGCTCATAAAGTGAACAAATCTCACTTAGTCCATTAAACATTCACTGTCTATTATGAATTAATTTCATATACCAGCTCCTCAGCTCTCCTTCAATCAGTTTTGTTATAGTTATCAAGTCACACATGCCAGACAACTTTCCGCATCTAATTAAACTCTTAGTGAATTTAGGGGAATTTGACTTGTTTTAACTATCTATACATCATTACTGGCCTTATCAGAGAGAGGAATAACCAGATCCATAATATAAAACCCGCAATGCGGTAGAAGTGTGATAGATACAATGTTGAAGCCAGAATTATCAGATTATACCAGTCATGCTAATTATTATATAAAGATATTTAGATGATTAACTTTTAAGTCTGTGTTTACACTTTCTGGAGGAAAAGGAACTACAAATCTCCTGCTATTAATAAAATATACACATCACCTTTAACACAGTTTTATGTGTCTTTATCTTATAAACCTAAGCTCTTATTTTCTGTAATCTGTCAGTATTGACATGTTTCTTCTACAACCAGTGTGTGAATGATGTGTAAATCTCACCTGCAACTTGCGGGTCTTCTCCCTTGCCTTCCTTCTTCTCCATCTCTTTTTCGCTCTCCTGTTGAACTTTCTTCTTTGCTGTTGGACTCGCCTCCACTAAAACCCAAAGAAACACATAAATAACATGCGTCTGGGAGATATATGCGAAAATGCCAATAGCAGTTAAAAAGAAAAGAAAACATTACATAATCTGCAACAAAAAAAGAAATATGCTTTGAATAATATCACAGATTATTGGGCTCTCCATATTGGGTAATGTATCATGGGTTACAAACTCAGATGATGTTTTATTAACTATTAACAGAATATTTGCTGGATTTCTGTTATTAGCATTCTACCATCACACAAACTGTCTCCTTATTGCAGAGTTTAAGACTTGATTTACATCTTTACAGTGAGAAACCAAGTAAATGTGGAAACTGAATGCAAATGTTCAGTCCTTCACTCTCTCGCTCTCATTGAAGGAATTGCTGTAGGCGTTTAATTGATCAGGGTCGGCTGGTAAAACTTGCAGCATCTGGGAGACGGAGACCCTTTCTCTGGTACTCGACTGGATGCAGCAGATGTTCTTCTGTGTGTGTGTGTTGTGGATTTGTATGTATGGCATTGATCATGGCTTAAGCCTCTGATTAATCATGTCCTTTCAGGTGCACTCAGGGTATGAACATGAGAATGTGAGTCTATGATCTCTGTCTATGTGTGAATTACTTAAGCTATAAGGATTAAGCCTTGCATTAGAGCTTGTGTCTTACAGGTGGATGCTGTGGAGAACCAAACTAGTTTGGCTAGCTTGTTGACATTTGTGGAAGTTGTTGAAATTGCTAAAGATTACATTTATTTGAAAATGATGAGAAACTTGCCAGAATTTACATTGCTCAGCCTTCAGTGAATTTTTAACTGTCACTTTAGTGAGCTGTAGCTGGCTTTTAGTGGGCAGGATTGCATTAAGTAAGAGTGATGAAGAAACATGTGGAATGTGAAAAATGTGCTTGTTATTATGAACGGTGCATCTTCTTATGTCACCAAGACTGGTTCAACAGCAATATTATGAAATATTATTACAATTTAAAAGAACAATTTTTGATGTAAATATATATTATATATGTAATTTATTCCTGTTATGGCAAAGCTACATTTTAAACAGCTATTACTCCAGTCTTCAGTGCTGCACGATCCTTTAGAGATCATTCTAATGTGCTGAATTGGTCAAGAAACATTTCTTATTATCAACAACATTGAACAAAATTCTGCTGCTTAATTTTTTCCTGTCATTTTTTGATGAATACATTTTTTGTAAAACTTAAAAAATGTTAATGCTGTCACATTAAAAAAAAAAAACCTTTTTTTAAGCCAATAAAATAATATTATACTATAGTTTACATTTTTTGTGACAACAGCCAGCTTGTCAAAAAAAAAAAAAAAGGTAAAAGGAAACATCTGAAGGCCCCACTGACTTAGCATTTCTTATGTTTTAGATTCAAACATACAAAAAATTTGATGTTTGAGCCAGCAAATCACTATACTCACTGAAAAAGAGTATAAATGAAAGGAGTGTGCAATAAGACTTAATAACTATATATTGTGAGATGAAATATTGGTGGACGAGCACTCAGATTAACTTGATGAGTTCTAAATGATGGTTTTAATGGAGATGAAATAGGCAACCCATTGCTTAAGACCGAGCGGTATTACGCCGCCACTTTGGGATGAACTGGAGCAGCTGTTTCAGCCTAATGCCTTTAATTTGTATTTGGGTCTCTGTCCCTCCCCATCTCATCCCTCTTTCTCTTTTAAAGGGATGGAGAGTCAGAGTATCGATCTGTGCGGTTCCAGCTAACACCTGTGTCTGCTCTGGAGTGGGATACAAGGCCGCAAAAGACATCAATTTTGCCCTCGCCCTCGCCTACACACACATACACACTCCATCAGATGAAAGACACAAAACAGGATTTTAATGCACACGTGTCCACCCTGACTCCATCTGCGTGGAAAGCGTTTGAAGTCGCAGTTCAGAGGGACACAGACACGCGTTCACATAATCAATGGAGGAGTAGGAAGTGTGTGGGGTAGTTTGGCTGGGCACACCACCTGGGCAATATGGAGCCCTGGAGGCCTCCGTCCCTCACTTATAGATACCGAGACTCATGTAGCGTCCTGCAGGAAAGTAAGATTTATATCACCCACACACACTCGTAGCAGCTGCCTGAGAACTCTTGATCTCACTGCATCCCAAGAGGAGCCCAGATTGCTCACTTTACTGCTAATTTTTTAAGTAAATGTATTTCTGTGGTGTGGGAAAGCTGATTTCAAATATTAAACCCAAGATGTCTAGACTGTTTTATCACTTACTGTCAGTGGTGCAGGTTTTATTTGAATATTAAAACTGTATTTACCACATTTCAAACCACAGGTGGTAACAAACATTGTGGGTAGGTCTGCGCAATATATCACGCTTATTGAAATATTGCACATATGCATATCGTGGAATGTGAATGCTGGATATGTCATTTTCTGTTTTTAAATACTCAAATATTTGAATAAAAATATTCACCTTAAACACACTTTATTAATTTTCTTTATTGCATCACATATTGTATTTTTTATATTGTGCAGCCCTAGTTGTGGGTTAAAAACTGGTATGTTTAGCCAGCTTTGAACACCAAGTTGTTCTAAATTCTTCAAGAACAGCACAGTCATGGAGAGATACACAATATATGTTCCTGCGTGAACTGACTATTTGAAAATGAGTAATGCCAGAGTCATTTTGTTACAGACGCCTGGCTGTTAACAGTTACAAATACTGATATCTACCAAATTAACATATTAGAATGATTTCTGATGGATCATGTGACAACGAAGACTGGCTGCTAAATAAATCAGCTTTGCCATCACAGGAAAAAATTTCATTTAAAAATATATTAAAATAAAAAAAGTTATTTTAATATTTGTAAAAGTAGTTTGTAATATTACCGTTTTTAATGTATTTTTGATCATAAATATTGCCTTGGTGACCAATGACCATAAGAGACATGACATCACTGAACAAATCAAAATTAGCAATGAACATAATTACATTCATAAAATAAAATTGTAAAAATGGTTGTTCACTGTTAGTTTATGATATCTTATCTTAAAAATAGAATGTTCCAAAAAAGGTGTTTTTGCAGTGATGCCTTAGAAAAACCATTCTGGTTTCCCCATTTTTATAATCTAATTTTTCTCTATAGAATATTTTGTAGCATGGAATTTTGGATTTTGCTAGAGCAAAATATGGAAGCAGGCACACTGGAGATGTTACCTATATGGTCTCCCTTTTCAGGAGGTTTGATCTCCTCGTCCTTGGATTCAGCATCAGGGCTCTCACCTTTGGAAAACAGACAGAAAAATAATTATACTTGTCTCAAAAAATATCTGGACACCCTAAAGACCCACATGCACCCTTGAATGACAGACACCAAGGCAGAGACAACAATATGGGTGTCATTCATTTAGAAGATAAATTGCTTATTTTTGTCAAGCTTGGTTTGTTTTTCCTGCTGAAATGAGATGTATTCAGCCAGAGTATGAATTTTACTCCTGTGGTTGTGTGTGAAACAGCTTGTGTATGGAGGTAAAATTCATACAAACTCTTTATCAGTAGGATTTAATGCTGTTTGCACACATATATATGGCCATATATATTGAAAATATGTGAGAAAATAATAATAATGTATACATTGTGTATACAATGTATGAAAGAAATAACGTATACACACACACACACATAAATGAAAAGAACACACAACAATCTCATCGAAAAACACATGAATGAACAAACAAACATGAAAAAACAATGCAGATACATCTTTATGTGCTGGTCGGCACTCGTGATTCATGAGTCGCAGGTGCTCAGCACTCAGGTAAATTCAGATTTAGCCTCTGTCTCTGCTTCACCTGGTCTTAAAAACCTCTCTGTTTTGCTTTTCTCTTGGGAACATAATTGCAAATATCTATGGCTCTTGGGTTCGGCCCAAGCAGAACATTAGCTTTGCCTCCTCTGCCTGGCAAAACTACTATTAATAATGCTCATAGCTACATCCGTCAGTGCCGGTAGAGGAAAAGTAAATCAAAAGTTGGCGATAAGGATGTCAAAAAGCACTGGCACTTTGGTACCACGCTGATAATCCTAACCCAAAACAAAACTACGGCTTATGAGTGTGCAAATGCGATTCAGAGCTCTGCAGTCAAAGTGACATTAAGTGCACGCTCAATGCTAGCCGAGCAGAGACAGGCTGCGGCTGGTTTTGTCCTCAAGGTTTGAACGCAAAATTTCTATCGCGCTACATGAATACCCAGAGGGAGTCGGGCCATGCTCCTATGAGCGTGTGTGTGTGTACAAGCAATCATTTCAGCGTGTGCAGTGGTGTGTGTCTGTCGATGCACATGTTCTGATGTCTGTCTGTGTACGTTCGTGTGGATTGGAGCGAGGTGTCTCATTAAACAGAAGCACCCCCAAAACACAGACACACACACACACACGTTAATAACTGTATCTGACAGCCACTCTCCCTGTCTGTAATGAGACAAGTTCAAGGACAGCAGAGCCAATCCAGATCCTTCAGTGAATGGGTTCAGCATGACACATGAAGCGTAAAGACTATGGAGAGACCCAGTGAATTTTCTCGCTCACTTGCATGTAGACTCCATGTGTTTGGGAGAGATCTATGCATACTGAACCACAAAGACGGACCTATTTCGCATGTTCTCTGATTCCTATTGTTCTCGGCTACTGGATATTATGAGAAATCAGGAAGTATGTAGTGGTCTGAAAAAGTGTTGGTAAACTATTAAAGACTTAAGTCATATTTAAATATGTATGAATGTCATAAATATATATGAATGTTAGATACTGAACCAAATGACATCTGCAAATAGTGCTGGAGGTGGCAAGTGAACCAGAAAGTGTCCAAATACTATTTAATAATTGTTTAATAATATACTGTATATCTTGTTGTATTACTTAAAACCTTAGAAACTTATTTTTGTTAAACGATTAGTAAGAAAAGCTATGAAATATGCTATATTTCATAAAATTGATCTGATATTTTGTTATTTAATGCAATTTCATTCACAATTTTTTAAGTGTGTCTTAAGTGTTTAACTTTTTAGGGGCCACTGTATGTGTTGGTGAGCATCATCCCATTGGTGCTTGTAGTAATCTAGACTAAAATTTAAAAAGAAAAACAGAATGACGACAAACCTTCTGGCTCCTGGCTATCCATCGTCACATCCTTATGGGATCCCTCTGAAATCAAACAAGAGAAAAGCTCGATAACAAGATTTGTGTCTTTCTTCTTAAATCCTCAAAAAAAAAAGAAAAAAAAAAAAACATTTTTTTTTTGGTACTTTCATCAGACTGTAGTGGCTAATCCCACATTAAAGAAGAGAGGATGATTGTTATCTAATCACTCCTGCTGCTGGCAAGTAGAAATGAAAGCACACATTCCTCTGTGAAGAGGAACAGGAAAGACTCCAGCTGATGTTTGATTATCAAAAGTATTATTATACTTTTTTCTTAATGGCTCACTGAGGATGAGAAACTTTCAGTGATTTTGATATAATAATTTGATATTACAACATCACACAGATTATTTAATCCCATTTTCAATATAGTTAGCAAAATTTGAACTATTTACACTCAGGATGTTGTTTGGTTCTTGTTCTGTAGTTGAATTTGTTTTGAGTAGAACAAGCCAATCACTAAGTTGTAGTAGATAACATAACCCATTAAGTACTGACAAATTGTGTTTGCTCCTAAATTACGGTGACAAGATGATAACATAAGCTAAAAATACTAGGTTAACAAGACACAGGAACATTTTGATGTGTCTTTCAGAAGAGACAAGCACTGAAGTAAATCTGCAGGCCTGCTCTTCTTTCTTGTACTTGGAAATGACTCTGACTCTGCATTAAATGGGCAATGCCAGGAAAACTAAATTCTCTTAGCTTTGAACAATAATACACAAAAGGCATACCTTGCTGGCTCATCATTTCTTCATCCTGCTTTTCAACTATAAAAAAAAATAAAACAAAAAAACAGATGTATTAAGAGTAAACATTCTACTGAAATACTTCTATCACCAAAAAAAATAAAAATAAAAAAAGAGAGAGAAAAACAAATAAAAGGAAAATGGAAAACTCTAAGCAAAGCAAACCAAAACAACAACAAAACAGGAAAAGGCAAACCAAAACAAAACAGAATAAAAACAAACAAATAAACAACAGAAAGAATCTAATCTAAACAAAACAGAGAAAAAAACCCAGAGAAAAACACAACAAAGCAGGAAAAAGGCAAAGCAAACCAAAACCAGAAAACACACAAATCCCTAAACACACACACACACACACACACACACACACACACACACAC